ATGTGTATATATATATATACACTATTACACACACACACATGTACATACACTCATACATGCATACACACTCAAACCCCGTCCGTCCGTCCGTCCGTCCGTCCGTCCACCCAACATCCATGCATGAATCCATCCACCAATCCATCACCATGTGCGCATGAGCGCACACACGTGCATACAAACATGGAAGCATGCATGCGCGCTTTACGTGGCAGCAGCATTAGCAGCATCAGCATTGCAAGCGACAGCCAGAATATCATTAACCTTAACATTAATTAGCTTGAACGTAGGGGACTTGCAAGGCAGTCGTAAAATCCCGGGCTCGCAATTCCTACATCCTGCGCCTCACTCTCTGCCTCCAGGTCCTATGCGACTTCTGATCCTTCACTGGCACTGATCTCCCCAAAGGGTCCTAGGTACTGTTATGGTGGATACTTCCCTAAATCGTAATAATAATTCCTAATATAGAAACCCTACATTCTACTATAAAGGTACTTTGGACCCTTTGGGCTCTGCTACCAAAAGAACTCGTCGTCCGGTCGTCCAGCTTGGCTTCGGGCTCACTGGTTTCCAACTGCGTCGAGTTCACAAGTCCGACAGGTGCTATACGTAGTACACGATCACCCCGTGCCGAATCATTGTAACTTAGCCGCTACCGAAATTTCAGGCCTGCGACGGGCGGCTGCGCAGTTACTTGCATTGCTGGACCTTGGGGCACCTTCGGCGCGCAAAGGCTTGCTGCTTACATTTCAAGGCTTCAGGGTTCAAGAGGTTCGGACCCAAGGCTTAGGGTTTACAGCTTTAGGGGCTTCCTTAACCCTGAATAACCTACCTTTTTAGGGTTCCTCATTAAGATTTCCTTATATAAGTCCTTAAAGAGGTAGGTCCTTCAGGGTTAAGGTTGGGGTTTAGGATGTATAAAACAAAGCGGTACAATAATTGCTTTAATCACCTTGGCTACTCAATGTGAAGCCCAAATTTCCAGGTTCAAAATGGATTGCGATGGGCTCGGTACCTTGAACCCTAAACCCTAAACTCGTAAATCCCTAAACCCCAAACACCCTAAACTTTAACACCCTAAACCCCAAAACCCTAAATCCTAAACCCTGGCTCTGTACGGGCTTCAGGATCGTGGTCCCCTATGGAAGTGTAGTTAACCTTTGGGCTACCTGCCTAGACAGTCATACCCCATCCCCACTCCTCTTTTCGGGTACCGAGTTTTATGGCTAGGGTTCGGATCTGGCATATGGGTGGTTGTCAAAATTAATAGAAAAGTCTGTACTCTGAACAAGGGGTAGGGTGTGACCCAAGGTGCCTGAGAAAGCTGTGAGATGTGCCGAGTTTTAGGGTTTAGGGTTTATGGGATCTAAGGGTTTAAGGGTTTTAGGGTTTAGGGTCTAGGGTTTGATACTGTAGGTATGATTTACCTACAGAGTCCGACGTACCTGTAGGCCTAAGTTTGACGGTCGTAAGAATACCCTCTACAAACAGTTGCCATTCTCACAATCACAGTCGGGACCGCCCATTGAAATAAAACCCCAATTGCCGGAACGCTCACCGCTTAGGGCACATGCTTTGCAGCCTAAACCCTATAGTTATATCACCAACACTAGAACCGCAACTCGCCCAACAAAGGTGCTTTAAGTGAGGCCTTCAGATTCCCATGGGAGAATCGACATCACAGACTTCTTGCCGAGACCATCACGAAGAAGCCCATTCAAACTTTAGGCTTCAGCGGTCCGTTGAACGAGGTTTAAGCAGTGACTATTTTAATTGCTTGCACACAGCTATAGCGAAATAACAGATTAAGATTTAAGGTTAGGGTAAAGCCGGTAAGAGGTCACAGCAGAGGACCCTCGTAAGATCCCTAAGCAATAAATCCTTCCTACCAAAACCTTATTTGCTCAGTTCTTTAAGCCCACAAAAGTGTACATTTTTAGTTTTACAGTGGGTGATATTATCCCAAAAAGTGAAAGTATGTAAAGTGTATCCACTCAGCTACTAGGAAACTCCTATAAGTAAGGAATCCCAACCCCTGATCCCCAAAACCAGTATTCAAGAGCCCTGAGTATGCCGTCGGACGGGGTCCCGAAACCCCCAAAAAGGCAGATCCTCAGGCCAAACCCCATCCTTCGAGTTAGGATTTCGGGTTTAGGCTTAGGGCTTAGGCTTTAAGCTTACTGTTGTGTAACCCCAGCCGTGAAAATCCGAGACGCGAAGTTCAACGAAGAGAAGCCTCCAACGTGAGTCTGACTTAAACCCCAAACACTTTACAGTAGAAGCCAGAAAGTTGGAACATCATTATCCTCATGCCCTGACGGTAAAGTATAGGAAATCCCAGCACTAATTGTCCTAAACCCATGTTCCAACTTTCTGGGGTTCACTTCAAACCCTCCTTCTAACAACTCGTTCGTGAGCCTCGGATCTTGCTTTGAGCCCGAATCCAGGCAAGTAGATGGTCCTGAGCTATAGGGTTTAGGGTTTAGGGACCTATATTTTTCTAACTATACATTTGCCACGATAAACATAACAACAATAAGAATAGATATAATGATAGGAATCAGTAACAATACCCACTAGCAACTCACGGGAGGGCTCTGGCTAAAGGCCTTGTGGGAGTTTGGGGTTCCGTTACGTTGTGCAGGGATCTTTATGGATGCTTCTAGAATGCGAAGATTGAGGGTAGGGTTGACGTATTGAGGATTCGGAAATAATGTAGAGGCCTTACACATTCGACTAGTGTTTGGGGCTCTTTTATCGTATACTGATAATGATATATTGAGGCATTCAGGTTGAAAGTTTAGGGATTCGGACTAATCAGTTGTTGAGTTCAGGGGCTAAGGATTCAGGGTGTGGGGCCTAGCCGGGATTCAGAAGGCTAAGAGTTTTGGCTTTCAGATTCAGCGCTTAGGATGTAAGGCTTCTTTTAGCTACAGTAATCCTTTCTCTGCTGAGCCTGTCCAGACCTCGCTTCATGGAAGCATGCACCATAACCTACTCGTCCGATAGCCTGGGGAACTAAAGGAGAACCTTGGGCTTATACAGGGGTCATAGTACCCGAAAAGGTTACAGGTTACCTACTCTGCATGCACCATTAATGAAAAGAGGCGGGTGCCCAAATCAACTTGTAGGCGCGTAGCAAACATCACTCAGCGGATTTGTGGGCGGCATCAAAACCCTAAACCCTAAACCCCATCTGGGCTTCCTTCTTTTTCAAGCTCTCCTGGAACCGTCAGGCTGGGTTCGGGATCCAACGAAATCAGGAACGAGCGACGACATCGATAGCAGTCTCCCTGACGACGACGAACAGCAGCTGCAGCACGTTGTTCAGAAAGCCAACCATGCCCAGAAGAAGCTGCGACCAGTTGCCCTTGAAGAGGACACAACACCAGCACATCACTGCTCAACACGTGGCTACACGAAAATTCTTTGAGGTGAAACTGCGCAGACTGCTGGGTAATTGGATGCCCTGCAGACTCTGGTCGAAATCGGGACCAAACGTCAAACTCTGCAGGCTGATGGGTAGTTGGATGCCCTCCAGGCTCTGGTTGAACTCATATCCAAAAGTCAAACTCTGCAGGCTGCCAGGTAGTTGGATGCCCTCCAGGCTCTGGTTGAAACGTCGACCAAAAGTCAAACTCTGCAGGCTGCCGGGTAGGTGGATGCCCTCCAGGCTCTGGTCGAAAAAAACACCAAACGTCAAACTCTGCAGGCTGCTGGGTAGTTGGATGCCCTCAAGACTCTGGTTGAAACGTTGACCAAACGTCAAACTCTGCAGGCTGCTGGGTGGTTGGATGCCTTCCAGGCGCTAGTTGAAACGTTTACCAAACGTCAAACTCTGCAGGCTGCTGGGTAGTTGGATGCCCTCCAGGCTCTGGTCGAACTCATCTCCAAAAGTCAAACTCTGCAGGCTGCTGGGTAGTTGGATGCCCTCCAGGCTCCGGTTGAACTCATCTCCAAAAGTCAACCTCTGCAAGCTGCTGGGTAGTTGGATGCCCTCCAGGCTCTGGTTGAACTTACCTCCAAGAGTCAAACTCTGCAGGTTGCTGCGTAGTTGGATGCCCTCATTGCTCTGGTCGAAACAAACACCAAAAGTCAAACTGTGCAGGCTGCTGGGTAGTTGGATGCTCTCCAGGCTCTGGTTGAAACGTTGACCAAGAGTCAAACTCTGCAGGCTGCTGGGTAGTTGGATGCCCTGCAGGCTCTTGTTGAACACATATCCAAAAGTCAAACTCTGCAGGCTGCTGGGTGGTTGGATGCCTTCCAGGCGCTAGTTGAAACGTTTACCAAACGTCAAACTCTGCAGGCTGCTGGGTAGTTGGATGCCCTCCAGGCTCTGGTCGAACTCATCTCCAAAAGTCAAACTCTGCAGGCTGCTGGGTAGTTGGATGCCCTCCAGGCTCCGGTTGAACTCATCTCCAAAAGTCAACCTCTGCAAGCTGCCGGGTAGGTGGATGCCCTGCAGCCTCTGGTTGAAACGTCGACCAAAAGTCAAACTCTGCAGGCTGCCGGGTAGTTGGATGCCCTCCAGGCTCTGGTCGAAAAAAACACCAAAAGTCAAACTCTGCAGGCTGCTGGGTAGTTGGATGCCCTCCAGGCTTTGGTTGAACTCATCTCCAAAAGTCAAACTCTGCAGGCTGCTGGGTAGTTGGATGCCCTCCAGGCTCTGGTTGAAGTCATCTCCAAAAGTCAAACTCTGCAAGGTGCTGGGTAGTTGGGTGCCCTCGTTGAAGTCTTGGTTGGAATACCACCAGAGTGACATGGTTTCGTTCAGGGCAGCTACATCAGACACAGTCTTCTCTTCGAGTAGGTGCTCCGACAGCATCGCGACACGACCCGCGCCAAGCTTCCGCACCACGTACCAGATCTCGTCGTGCTGGACTTGATGTAGCAGCAGATGGCGCTGATCGATGACACAACCACCGGATGTCAGCACAAGTAAACCTGCCGGGCGGCCAACTTCGGCTGCGATGCGTTCCGTTACTTCCCACCCCGTTTCAGCAGAGTCGACCTCCAGCTCAAAGCTGGTACCTGCCAGGCAGTGAACGCTCACCTGGGCTTTGCAGTAGCCAGGGAGAAAAAGAGTAGAGAATTTTAGTTCACAGTGGTTCCCGTGAAGTAACAGGTCCCCACAACAGGATGGAAGTATGGTACTCCAAACCCAGTCACAGTGCGGGACGCTCCTCTTCATTGTGCCTTCGGACAGATCGGCCATGGCATTGGCTGCACACTGGGATCAGAAGCCCGGTAGTTCACAAGTTAGGGATGTAAGGTTTCCGAGTTGAGGTTCATGACTGACAGGTGTGGAAATGCGTGTATATATGTGTATATGCAAAAATGTATACAAATATGTGTATATATATATATGTAGATATGTAGATATGTAGATATGTATATTTGTATATGTGTAAATATGTAGATTTGTATGTATGCATATATGCATATATGCACGTATGCATATAGGTATATATGTATATATGTACATATGGTTATATGTAAACAGGTATATGTGTATATACGTATACATGAATATCTATGTAAACATGTCTATTCGTATATATGTATACATGTATATATGCACATAGGTATACATGCTTACATGTTACAAATGTATGTATGTAGTATACGTAGTATATATAATATATGTAATATATGTAATATATGTAATATATGTAATATATGTAATATATGTAATATATGTAATATATGTAATATGTGTAATATATGTAATATGTGTAATATATGTAATAAATGTATATATATATATATATATATATGTGTGTGTGTATGTATATATGTATATATGCATATATGCATGTGTGTATATATATATATATATATATATATATAAATGTATATGTATATGTGCATATACCTATATACATATATGTAATATGTAATATGTATATATGTATCAAGTGGGGAACATCATATGTGAGAACTAAACTCATGATGTGTCGGTCTGAAATAAATCCGAATCCCCTGTTCCATGTCTCATGACGGCTCTCAACGGGCAATCCATGGGATCCTTACAGCAGTTTTGAAAAACTCTGGCGTTGAACTGCTTTCACGAACAACGTCTTCTGGCATCTCTGAAAGCCTGTCTGTGTCCTGCAGTATCGGAAAGGGGCCACTGTGATCGAACTGTCAGCTTCATGACACTCCAAGAATGCCAATATAACAAGTCGTTCAAGGACCATGTTCCATGGAAACGGTTGATCAAGAACCTCACACAAAGCAGAAATGCAACCTGCTTACAGAAGCATGAGGGAGTTTCCGAAAATTAGCTTATTTTGGGGTCCTTACAATAAGGATCCTACTATTCAGGGTACGATATTAGGGTCCCCTCTTTTCGGAAACTTCCATCCTAAGGATGCAGCTGTTGGAGATATATAGGCTTATGTCTTCCATGTTTTTGTTGCTTGAGGGCCTTCAAGGGCACTTGGCATTTATGGAATCGTCTGTTGTTGTTTTTCTTGCTGCGTTAGTCCATCTTGGGTTTATGGCCGTTTAGAGCTTATGGTTTCAGGATTCATAATATCTGGTTCGGGCTTCGAATCAGGGGTTTCGAATCTACATTGCAAAGCTTCTTCGAACTCCGTCATGCACACAAAGCCACTAAAACACTCACCAAAGCCTGCATAGTAACTATACAGCAGGGCCAGTGACAGAAAGGTCCTGTAAAGCTCGGAGAAGTCTAAACCCAAAGCCCTAAACTCGTAAAGCCTTCTAACAACTTACGAATAGCAAATAACAGGAACCACGGAGCAGGCACGGGTTTAGGGTTCAGGGTTTACCTGAACCGTGAGTATCTGAGTTGACGATCTTGCGCTCTCAGGAAGCCGGCCACGCTGAACAGCAAATTGTGGACGATGGATTAGGGTTTATCACGGTTCGGAGCAAGGGACAAGCTCATGCCAAGCCCACATGTAGGAGCATTGGGGGTTGTAGGGCATTGCGGAGGGGAAGGTGGCATACCATACTACTCACAATTATCAAGGGGCTGGCATGGAATGCTGTCACTAACTATCTGTTTAGGCCCCTGAATTACAGCAAACCCATGGGAGGGCTTGAACCCTAAGGCAGCCTAAAACCAAAAACTGTAAGATCCTAAATAAAGCTCTATACCCCCAAATCCGCACCAGCCTCTGCGCTCTCTGCATCCAGCCATAGAGAGGGTCAAAGCTCCCTGCGAACTTGGCTGCGCACCATTCATCCCCGAAACTGTTGACCTGAGCTTGTTCAGAGGGCTAGGATCTAGGTTTTACGCTCAGGATTTAGGGATTTCGGATATCTCAAATGCTTTCGATTTCAGAGCTTGGGGAGTATCCGAGCTTGATGTTTGGAGCTTCTGGCTTTCGGAACGACAGGGTTTAGGTCCACCGAGGCCTGCTAGGATCTTGACATGACCGTTTCCGATGCTGTAGACGCATGAACCAGTCAGGTGTTTTCTCAGCGTCTGGGATAAGGGCTGATAGGGTTTTTGGCTCAGGGTGTAGGATTCGGGGGTTCTGGCTAGGACCTGCGGTTAACATCCATGTCCAGGGATGCTTTGTCTCCCACGATAAAAGAGCCAGCCAAGGCGAACTCGAAATCAGGCTTAGGGTTTAGGGGTTTAGGGTCTAGGGGTTTAGCGTTTAGGGGTTTTAAGGTTTAGGGTTGAGGGTTTAGGGATTTAGGGGATGAGACGCCATCATCGCTTTATGCGTGGGGACATACATGAATGCACATGAAGGCTGCGTGTGTGTAAGTACGTGTGGAGGTGTGTATGTACGTATGTATGCAGGCAGGCGGTTGTTCTAATACACAACCTGAGAGAATCTAGCTTTAGCAACAGCACCGCCTACAGGCCTACATTGAACACCCACATCATATTTACAGATATACAGGTCGACGGTAAAAAAATGAAAAAGTATAATGCTGCTACCATCTTCAGTGCTAGTTTCGCGAACGGCGACGAGTGCTACTCGTAGACATACTGGCAAACTTGCTCTGGCTCTGACGATCATCGTATTCTTAAACCTACGACAGCAGCAAGAATTACGATGACTGCAAAAGGAGCGCTATCCCAACAGCTCAGTTTGCGCGTTGCGCTGGGTATGTTGCTGCAGGAATTTCTGATAGTAATAAGCCTGAACATGAAAACACTAGCAACAATACGTAGTACCATGTCTTGCTGTAACATGAGAACATTGGAAAGCTCATGCGAAACTCCGGGCCTCGAAACGGACGGCGTCCAGCAAGCTCGCTACCTCAGGCAATCTGTTTAGGCTTCGTGGTTACTACATTATAGAGTAGCTAACTAAAAAATACGGAAAACTATACATACATATATATATATATATATACATATATATATATATATATGTTAATATTTATGTTTATGGGCCGTAAAGGAGTGGCAAACTTGATTATTCCGACGGTTCTATTAGGGGCTTCGGGGTTGAGGGCTTCAGGGCGGGGTCGGAAGTGCAAGCTTTGGGAGGTGGACACCTGTTTCCTCTTGCCGGGGATGAGGGGTTTAGGGTTTAGGGGTTTAGGGGTTTAGGGTTTAGGGTTGTTGCATGGTGCTTTCCGTAGGAGCGGGTGGTAAGATGTAACGACTACGAAGTTTGGGCATTCATGTGAAGCAGGGTGCGGGTTACGATGGGGTTGGGGCTAGTGTGCATGCTCAGCAACTGCCCCATGCAGTGCTCGAAACATGGGAAGAAAAGATACAGATCTGAGGGCCGCAAGCACCAGTCGAGCTCACACCCGACCAACTGAGACGTACCACCACAGAGCAGGCTGATATCTGACAGCTTGCAGACCTCAAACCAAAGAAAACCTAAACCTGAACCTGTGGGTTCTTTTTGACGGATTCAATTTACTCTAGCTTTAAGGTACCATAATAAGGACACCCAGATATTTACTATGGATCCCAAATTATTCTGGTAACCTTAAACTAAACCCCTTAACAAGAACCCAGTGCCCGACGAGAGAAGGCAGACTCCGATAAAACCCTAAACCCTAAACCCCTAAACTCCTAAACCCTAAACCCTAAACCCTAAAACCCTAAGCCCCTAAACCCTAAAACCCTATACCCTAAAACCCTCTACCATCCATCTTCGCCCAAACTCAGCGAAACCGAAAGCCCGTCTCCGAGCACAAAGCCTGCTTCAGTCTTTCCGCAGGTCGGAAGTAATAATGTCAGAGTACAAAGTACGACACATGATCTTAACATATTCCTGCAAAGTCGTATACTATAGCATAATGAGTAAAAATGTATTTCAGTAGGTGATCGTATGTTACAGTGTGCTATAGTGTATTGCGGAATTTCGTACCATGATGTAATTTACTATAATGATATACTGCAATGTAATATAACATTTGTACTGCGTAACGTTGGACTATAACATATGGGAGTTTCCGAAAATAGGGGACCCTAACATAGTACCCTAAGTAGTAGGATCCTTATTATAAGGACCCCCCAAAATGAGGTACCCCTAAATCTGCGGAAAACTCCTAAACCTTTAGAGTACCGTTATAGTCCTCCCTTTAAAGGAACCCTAAGGGACCCCTAATTTTCGGAAACTCTAAACCCTTATAGTAGCCCTTTACAGGAACCCTTAGAGTACCCTTATAGTCCTCCCTTTAAAGGAACCCTAAGGGACCCCTACTTTTCGGAAACTCTAAACCCTTATGGTAGCCCTTCACAGGAACCCTTAGAGTACCCTTATAGTCCTCCCTGTAAAGGAACACCTAATTTTCGGAAACTCTAAACCCTTATAGTAGCCCTTTACAGGAACCCTTAGAGTACCCTTATAGTCCTCCCTTTAAAGGAACCCCAAGGGACCCCTAATTTTCGGAAGCTCTAAACCCTTATAGTAGCCCTTTACAGGAACCCTTTGAGTACCCTTATAGTCCTCCCTTTAAAGGAACCCTAAGGGACCCCTAATTGTCGGAAACTCTAAACCTTATAGTAGCCCTTTACAGGACCCCTTAGAGTACCCTTATAGTCCTCCCTTTAAAGGAACCCTAAAGGACCCCAATTTTCGGAAACTCTAAACCCTTATAGTAGCCCTTTACAGGAACCCTTAGGGTACCCTTATAGTCCTCCCTTTAAAGGAACCTTTGAGTACCCTTATAGTCCTCCTTTAAAGGAACCCTAAGGGACCCCTAATTTTCGGAAACTCTAAACCCTTATAGTAGCCCTTTACATGAACCCTTAGAGTACCCTTATAGTCCTCCCTTTAAAGGAACCCTAAAGGACCCCTAATTTTAGGAAATTCCTTTTGGGAGCTTATCCGGCTCTGCCCTGGCCCATGCCCCCCCCCATGTCCCGGCTCGTCATCTTAGACAACCCCTAAACCCGAAAACCCTAAACCCTAAAGCCCTAAACCCTTAAACCCCTAAAACCCTGAACCCCTAAACCCTAAACCCTAAACCCTTAAACACTAAACTTCTACAAACACCAAGCGGTTTTGGGCTAACGGTTTAGGCTCTACGCAAGCCTGTGGTATACGAACTCGGCCATGTGGCCAGGTAGAAATACCGCTAAAGGGAACTCCAGAAAGTTGGAATATGGATTAATGGTAGGATCCCCTATAATTTACCTTCAAGGGGTTACGATAATGATATTCCAACTTTCTGGCTTCTACTGTATGGTATTGTGACTCGTTACCTTCCTGTCATGGAAACTCTCTTCCTTATCACTACTAGTACTAAAGCTCTTATCAAAACTTGCATAGGTATGACCATTACCACGAAAGATGTTGATCTCTCTGCTGTCCTTGTGCTTTTAGCCCTAGCCCGGAGCCATATCATCCCTTAATCTCGACCCTTATCTTTCCCTATAAATTGGATAAAGACCTCATACCCGGAAGCACTACAGCCAGTAACCCAGTCACCTTCAACCCTTAAATCTCCAAAACCTCTTTTTGCAAACACAGCCTCGAAAGAACCCGAGTATAGATCCAACACTCATTTCGAACCCCTCAGCCCTACTTACCAGGAGCTGGACCAACTCCTGTGTCAAAGCCACCTGCTTGGAGGGTCGGGGGACTTAGTAATTGGTTATTTTGAGGACTTAAAAGTACCATAACCCCAATTAAGGGAAGGTCTTAGGGTACTTAGAAGTCTATTCACTACCTACTTACTAAGTCCCCCGACCCTCCAAGTGCTTCAGGGCTTTCAGGATTCTCGGGATTTTGAGCGGGCTCGGGGGCTTTAGGTTTGCTGATTTTCAGACGTTTTGGGTTCAGGGTTTAGGAGCTTCAGGGTATGACCTCTTTAAGGTCTCAGGAATAAGTTAATATACGGGCGTTACTAATTAGAATAGGGTTTCGGGGTATACTATACTATGCTTGGAAGCCCCAAAATAGTATAGGCAATCATTACGGCCCCTGTAGTAGACAGAGACGAGGTCGTGTCGAGTGCGTGGTCTGATTTGCGATGAGCTGTCACAGCCTGTCTGTAAAAAACCTTTCTTTCTGTCTCTCACCCACACTGTGTAAGGCGGCCAAAACGCCGAAACCAAAGCACTAAAGCCTACAACCTGAGCTAAATCCGAAAGCTTGAAAAGCCAGTGCAAAGAGAGGGAAGATGCGTAAGAACCGCTCTGAGACAGCCGACAGTTTTGAAGACGACAACAATTCGGTCGAGGGTGTCAGAAAGTTTCGGATGTAGTTTAAGATTTCGTGTTTTAGATGTAAGGTAGCACCAAGCTAGGGGATTTAGTGTCTTAGGCTTGCAGCAATCAAGCACACTGCCGTGAACCCTGAATCCATACCTTAAACCCTAAAGCCAAACCACTCAACCCTAAACACCCAGACCCTGAATCTTTCAGTCTTGCCCAGATCATTCACACATAGTTAAGATTTACATATGTGTATGTATATATATACACATACATAAATATATATATATATATATATATATATATATATAAACATACATGGGCAATCCTAAACCCTCAACCCCGAAACTCTAAACCCCTCAGCCCGGCTGCCTCCATAGCCTCGTCTGTCTTCACTGGAGGCAAGCCCTCAGGAAGAGTTGAGAAAGTTACATGTGGATTTTGGGTTTAGGGTGCTTCGGGGGCGCTTATGATTCGAACAAGGGCTCCTTTAAAGGTTTCTAGAAGGGATGCTATGAGGGGTGGCAGGGCGGGAGGGGGATGAGGGTCACAACTCTAAAAGCACTGAGGCCTTACGGTAATGTAGGGGCCATAATAATTAGAATAGGATTTTGGGGCCCATGATACTATAATTATGACAAGGAACCCCCCAAAATAGTATAGGTAACTATTTAGGCCCCTATAGTAATCTGGCCAAACTTGGGGGGACCGGGCCTCTGGCCGAACAAGGAAGCTCTCTGGGACGCGACGTGCGAAGCCCCAGGGTTTAGGGTTTAGGGTAAAGGATTCAGAGTTTAGGGTTTAGGGTAAATGGTTCAGAGTTTAGGGTTTAGGGTAAAGGGTTCAGAGTTTAGGGTTTAGGGTTTAGGGGGGCAGTGGAGCCCCGGCCTTCATGACACCGTCTCGCGGCAGTGCCATCTGGGCAGGCATCCCGCCTTCGAGTTTTAAGTTGATGATCAAATCATTTGGGGCGCCAGGGTAGCGAGTTGGTGTGTAGGGAAAACAAAGGCTGCATGTGTGTACGTAGTAATGTTGTGGTACCAGTAGTGAACACAATAACAATGGCGATTAAAAGCTGTATGTTTTACTGCAACGATGTGTTTCCATGGTATGATGTGTTCGACTAGATTCCAGGCATTACACATGGAACTCGCTTCCATCAAGCTGCTCTCCGTCACTGCAAGAACAGTTTGCTGGTATCAGAGTATCAGACGAGCTTGATAAGGTATGCGCTTGTTCCTGTTTCGCTGGTACCGTAGCAATGAAGATGATCATGCTACGTGGATGTCGACAGTACAGTGTTTTGTGGAACCCTGTATGTGCCGAACAGTCAGAGGGTTCTGGCAGGGCAGGCATAGGCGCTCTGTGAAGACTCGACGACAGAATTTAGGGTGCAGGGTTTACGAGGCACAGAACAAGGGTAAACGACAATGATAACAATGTTACCAAGACCAACAAGTGCAGCAACAATAGCAGCTCCAACAAAAAAGCACAATCACTCTAGCTGAACCGATGGCAGCAGTCTGCAGTGACCAAAGACGGACAGACCTGCCTAGCCGGCCATGCGCGAAGTGGCGGTATGCATGCCGCCTCAGAATGCGTAGTCCCGATGTCTGATGAGCCCTGAATAAAGTTTTTACATCCTAAACCCCCTAAACCCCCTAAACCCCGCCTCACATCCTCACCCCGTACCCTCGGAACCAAGATCCTAACCCCTCAGCTCGTCGGGGCTCCGCCTAATCCCTGAGACCCGGAAGCCCCAAATCTTGATGAAGAGCCCCGAGCCCAAGCGCTCCAAGTATGAGAGAAGTGACTATTCCGGAACGGGTGCCTGATCGTAAGTTCTTAACCGCTCTGATCGCTACTTTTACTATTCCGTGACAGGTCCCTAAACCTCCAAACCCAAGGTTCCTACCAAGACGCAACACCCTTTCCGAGTCTCCTGACGGAAAGAACAGACTGAACCCTAAATCTTTTTCGACTCGCCCCTGAACCTCCGGTCGCTACGTGGTATCCCCAAACCCTACAAAATAGTAGGGTTTGGGATACCAGGTAGCTGTGACTCCTTAAATATAGGGTGAAAATGCTTAAACAGTAGGGCTTTGAATCCCCAGGTAAACCCTATTTGTCGCAACCTTACCAACTCTCCTAAACCCTAAACCCTATTCTGCGAAACCTTGCTTAAAGGATCATGGGACTTAGTAATTGGGGTTGTAAATAAGGTAACCATACTTATAATTACTTATAGCCCCAATTAAGGTACTTATAACCTTACTTACTACGTCCCATGAGCCTCCAAGTATCCACCCTGAAGCCCAGTGTCGCCACTGAGGCCCTCGCAGCTGATCATCTGATATGTCCAAATGCCCACAACCCCCGGCAGCCTGATTGGGTAAAGAGCTCCTTTGAAGACTCCTTAAAGGGATCTATAGGGTTCCTTAAAGGGATCTATAGGGTTTAGGGTTTAGGGTCTACTTGGAGGTTCATGGGACTTAGTAAGTACAGTTATAAAGTACCTTAACTGGGGTTATAAGTAATTATAAGTATAGTTACCTTATATATAACCCTAGTTACTAAGTCCCATGAACCTCCAAGTAGAGGGTCAAACAGGCTTGGTATTGAGGGTTGAGGGATTAGGGATTCAAAAGCGGTTCTGGGGTTTGGTGGCTTGGGGTAAACGTAAAGGCTTCAAGGTTAAGAGGTCTAGGGGTTTCGGAGGTCGTGTTTAGACTCAGCTCGCCAGGCTCTAGGTCAGATTTACTGTAGAAATTGTGGCTTCAACAATACTATAGCAATCCAATAAGTGGAACAGGGTGGGGGGGGGGAAATGTTGTATAGTCCTATGAGGAGTATCCTGAGATATAGCTACGCAGTATGGTCAAAGCGGTTTATTGATTCAACGCTTAGGTATTGGCTCAGAACCACGCAGAAAACCAATCTCGTTAACTGTAAGTCACAGTATGTGATTTCGAACAGTTGGACGTATGGGGCCCCGGCAGATTGGACTTAAGGGCTCTAGTCTGACCTTAGGTCATTACCGAGCTTTTGTATTTGCACCCCGCTTATTCATCAACGACTGCCCATTGAACTGCACTGGCATTGCAATCAACTTAGCAGCTAATGAACCCCGCTTCCCAAACAAAGAGACCGTGTAATCGGACATCACGCCATCAGAACTGAACCAATATGGGAAAGCTTTGTTTTAGACGAGTCAACGGAAGCTTCACTCCGTGGCTCGAGCATAGGGGTGCAGCCAGCTACTGCAAAAAAGCCAAACGGACATCGCTTCTTCCTGCGCTGAAACTACACGGCCCGCCCAGGTGTTCCCTTGTGCTGACAGATTATAGACTGTCAGCGTTGTTACTTTTTTGAGACACTTGATTGCGACTGCCCAACTCCAAGTTGGCTTCGGCTCCTACGATCTTATGCCACTATTTATTCGTGAGAACCTCCCATAGAGTCGTAACCATAAACGTGGTAGCAGTAATCATGTACGTACCATCGTTTAGGCAGCAGTGCCTAAATCATTGAACATACCAGGCCTCGTCGTGAGCACGAATAAGGATGCCCCCTCGTTCAGGCGCATCCTCACAGGGAGTTTTCTTACGACGGTGCTGCACATGCACTTCCAGGGCTGCAAAGTTCAGGTGTGGGTTTTTGCGGCATCGGCGCAGGGTTTAGGCAAAGGGTTCAGCCCCTCTGACATGAAATTCGGCCGTCACGAAACTACACGCAACATGCTTCGAAGCTGATTTCCTACGCCCTATAGTAAGTAGAAGTGCAAAACACTCAAAAGAACATGCTTCCCGCAAGTGCGTTCGTTGTACAGCGGACATACCAGGTGGAGCAAAGAGGAACTTTCGTGTGGATGTGATTCTCACCGCCTATATCCCGAAGCTATTGCACTGAATGCGAAATGGAGTACACTATGATGTAATACCATCCGTAAAAAAGCATATAACCGAATGTCCTGTATCTATTGCAACATAATGCAGTATAGTAGAATGTCATAATATCCTCTCGCGTAGCATAATCTAGTGTTTGAGATGTGCATTTCGAAGGCTCGGCTTTCGGATCAAGCAACGCACTTCTCAGGAAAGCACCTTAGGGAACCCGTCAGCTCCTGTGAGTGCTCCCTTAAGGGAACCCGTAGGGGTTCCATCATTTACGGGAACCCTTAGGGGTCCGTGTGCCCAACTTGTATATACACGGGCCTTAAAGTAGTCCCTACATAGTTACTTGGGGCCTAAGAACAGACTCTTTGGGTACATGGACCCTCGGGGAATAACAAGAGAAGCCGCCCCTGGAAGGTTCCGACCGAAACTCTGGATGCCAGCCACCTAGGATACCCAGTAACCTAAGAATAAGGCCTCTCTTTTTGGTATTGGGTAACTTTATAAGGAACCGAGGACTACAAAAAGGGAAAAAGGGTACTACTGGGCATCCTAGCCACAGACTCCAAAGTTAAGCATGGAACTCCAGACCCTGAAAGCGCTAATCCTCCGAGCTGCGCTGAATCCCAAAACCCCTAAGCCGACATGCCAGCAACCCGGGCCCCAGGCCCTACGGTTTAGGGTTTAGGGTTCAAAGCTTAGGGTTTATCGTGACCCTGCCATCACTCCTAATCCCGAAACCTGCCTCCACCCAGAGTCGTATTACCCGATTGGCAAAAACTCGGCGTCGGCAAACCAACACTCGGGCCTCTGCGTGCTTGCCAGGTGTAGGGCTCTTACTTTTTGGATCTGGTGGCCTAGTAAGGCTATAACCGTAATCAAGGCTATCAGTACAGCAACCTTATGCATAGCCCTACCTTAACCCCGAAGAACCTACATTTTTGAGGACTTATATAAAGAAATCGTAATAAGGAATCCTAAAAAAGTTATTCAGGGTTAAGGTAGGCACTATGATCCCTTAAGTAGGGTTTCGAGGTCTTAGGGAGTACAGCTCTTAGGATTCATCGTTTGAGGCTCTCGGCTTCGTGGGGCTCTCTGTAAGGGTCCAGTTAGGGTGTTAACAAGTCTTCTCTACGGCTTAGGGGTTTAGGGCTTAGGGTTTTATAGGGTTTAGGGTTTCGGGTTTAGGGCTTTAGGGGTCTAGGGTGTTAGGGTTTAAGGGTTTGGGGGTTCTAAACTACGGCTCCAAATACCCCAAAAGTAGGTACTCCAAAGTAGGCACTGTTTGTATACGGGCTATGCTGGGATTTAAGAGAAAGCTTCCAGAAGGGCTCTGTATATAGCGAATGTCAGAAAGTTGGAACAGGGATTTAAGACGATTAGCGCTGGAACCCCCAAGTGCTCCACCTTAAGCGCATGAGGACAACGATGTTCCAACTTTGTGGCTTCTACTACAGGGGCCTTCATAATTTGAAGAGGGTTTTAGGGCCCATTCTACTGTAGTTATAATCAGGAACCCCCAAAATAGTAAAGGTAATTAGTGAGGCCACTATAAACCCTAAACCCTATAGATTTCTTATAGATCCCTTAAAGGAACCTTTAAGGATCCCTTTAAAGGTAGCATAGGTAATTATTGATGCCCCTAGAGTACTTTAAGAGGCTCAGGAGCTTTGGGCTTTCACTGCACGGGCTGAAGGTCTGGCTTAGGGGTTTAAGGTGAAGGGTTCTATTTTTATAGGGGTTTAGGGGTTTAAGGTTTGGGGTTTTAGGGTTCAGGGTTGCATTAGTGATGCCAGTGGGGTTTCGTCTTGATTCATCGGCTTAGGGCTTAGGGCTTAGCTGCTGCATCAATGCTTTTGGTGAGGATTCGTTGTAGTTTGAGGCGCGTGTAGTGTCCATGCACGTTCGGGAATTAAGGATCCCCCGAAATAGTATAAGTATTTATTAAGACCCCTGCATACATTAGATGACTATGATTAAAGGGTGATCCTTGAAGCAGTCTCTGTGGCTCATGCGTCGTCCTCCAGCTGCACGTAGACTTCAGCAACTTTCTGGACCTTGTCTCAGCTGGGGCTTTGGGGTCTGAGAACGATTTTTTTTATGCTCTGGGGGTGACTCAGTGGCCCAGGGCGGCCCAGGACTTCGTGTGTGTGGCTGACAGGAGAGCTAGCATCCTTACCACACCCTGAAGGTTTAGGTCTAGGACCTCACACAAGGCTCTGCAGCTTTGCTGCTTCGGCTTTGAAAAACCTAGGGTTTCAGGTTTAGGGTTCAGGGTTAAAGGTTGAGGTTGTATCCGCGCGAATCCTGGATCCCACTACCTCAATCCTCCATCCTTCCTAGATCCTCTATCCTATACCCGAAATTCCTGAATCCACCATCCTTCCTAGTTTTCGTATCGGGATGATGGCTTAGGATTTGGGATACAGCGCAGGGATCCCACCCTCTGCTATGAAGCTCTCCACAAGTAGAAGCCCTGAGCAGCAGTTTAGGTGCAGGGTCTGAGGATAGCCTTTAGGGTTTAGGGTTGGGACCTCTCACCGCTTGGTGGGATCGTGAGTAGTTGATGCTTTCCCGGATGTTTCGGTTGATGATATAAATCCTGCACTACCCATAATAAGGAATATACCATAATTCCCATAGCCTAGGGTCCTTAAGGTAAGGCAGGATTTCTATCATCAACCGTTTTACTGTCGTCTAAGGGTCCATGTGCCCAACTAGTATACACTTCGGCCTCAAAGTAGTTCCTGTAAAGGTACCTTGGGCCAAGTATACTACTTGGGTACATGGACCCTTAGGGGTCATGAGTTTTACGAGCTTCAGGGATCTAATATGGGGACCTTAACAATTAGAATAGGGTTTTGGGGCCCATTATACTATACTTGTAATCAGGAAACCCCGAGATAGTATAGGTAATTGTTTAGACCTTTACAGTACAGATTCAGAGCCACCTCCGAGCCCCAGACCTCCAAGCCTAGCAAACCCTAAACCGTTAAACCCTAAACCCCTAAACCCTAAACCGAACAGTCCGGAAACGGATGCCCATGACAACCCCCGCCTGCCATCCCAAAGGGCAAGGGAGAACTGCCCTAAACCATAAACCCTGAATATCCCTGAGTCCATGCCCCTATACCCTAAACCTTAAACTCTGAAAACAAAAATCCACCCTAGACCCCGAAAGCCGAACCCTCTCCCCTCCCCCCGAAGCTCAGGGATTTGCCCTAACTCGTTTAGGGTTCAACTGGGGTCCAATACCTATTGCCAGTGAAGGGCGATGCTATATCCTAGCGTGACGGAAGCATCACCTACTTTGAACCACGCTTCGATCAAGTTAAGGTTTAGGGTTTAGGGTTTAGGGTTTAGGGAAAGCCAGGGCGTCAACCCTTTCTTTCGAGGCCGCCCAAGGAAAATGCGAGTTGTCCTGGAGCTCAGAGGTTAGCGTTTCGGCTCGTGGTCTGTGCACGAGGTGTTTTGTCGTTAAGGGTTTAGGGTTTAGGGTTTAGGGTTTAGGCTCTAAGGACTCATATTTTAAGGCTTTTGGGCCCAAAGACCATACTATGTAAGGCTCTTGGGCTATTTTGAGCCTTAGGGTTAGGGCTTACCCACAGTTTCAGGGAACCTGGTCAAAGGGGCATGTACCTATTTTGAGTCTCATCTCCTCGGTTTTAAAGTACAATAACTGTTCTAGGTAGGGCTGTAGAGCTTTTGGGTCCCGCACAGTCCAAGTCCGACTTGCTATAGGGTTCGGGTTGCAGTGCCACCGGAGAAAACAAGCAACCACCGAGATATGTTGTCGTCATGACTGATCGCCTAAGCCTAAACTCTACCCTTGATAACCATCGAACTCCCCCCAACCTTAAACCCTAAACCGTTACAACATGGACGGCGAGGCTGGGACGTTGCCGCATACAAGTCCTGAAACAACGACAAGGCCATAAGACCTCAAGCTTAGGTACGGCCCCCTTACAGTAAGACCCTATAATAGGGCTACTACTAAGGTCCTAATCAACCTCAAGCCTGCAGCTGCATAGAGCCCTTAAGCCTGGAGTTCAACAGTTGTGCAGCATGCAGTCTACACAGGAAAGATCCGAAACCCTAAACTCTAAACATCTCTAAAACTTTGCAGGCTGGCTTGAGGCTCTGACTTGCAAGCAGGCCTCATCTTCGTACCAGTATCAGGTGTGATGCTAGGTGCTCAGACTGTTCTTTGCTGGCGCATGCGAGATTCAGACTTGCGTGTGATCGCTCGAGATGCGCCTATGGAACTTCCAAGCTCTCAAAGCTCTAAACCCTCAACCCCACGATAGAGAAAGAGCTCTGAGCGCAACCCAGCCCTCAGGCCCTAAACACCCCCCTGAAAACCATGTAAAGATCCTTGCCCCAAAAGCCCGAAGGCTCAAACCCTACCCTAAACCCTAAACCCTAAACCCGATGGAAGTCGCCTGATAGAAGCTGTACTTCTGCCCGGAGAGCCATGGCTGGTCCGTCTCCATCCGCTTTAAACTCTTCTAAACCCAAAAACCGTTTCCCTAGAGCCTGAGGGTTTGAGGGTTTAGGGTTTAGAGTCTGATACGCTACTAAAGCGGGTTGCCATACATACTCTGCCACTATGCTTCGACGAAGGCAGCAACTGGCAGTACAAGTGCACTTGAGGCTTGGTTCTCGGTGGCTACCGCTGCGAGATGGAACTGGAGCTTGGGGGTCGTAGTCAAAGTCTTGAACCCTAAACCCCCAAGCCCCAAACCCACAACAGCTGAAACTTTCGCGGTTTTGCGGCTTTGGGTCGAAGTCTTGGGCATGTGACTCCCTTCGTGTTTCTCGAGCTTTGAGCGGAGGGCGGGGGAAACATTGTCAAGAGGGTCCATATATATATGTATATATATATATATATATATATATATATATTATAGTATAATATAGTATGTACAATATGTAAGAATATATATATATATATATATATAGTAAAATATACTATAATACTACATTATATATACACACACACCTGTTCTGGAGTTAGGCCAAAACCATGAGAAGAATTGTCTGTTGAGGCCCAACTCCATAATGATCGCATAACCCTAAACCCTAAACCCTCTGAGTTGAGGACGAGGAACCGATGGCTACCCGAACGCTACCCTGAGCCCAAAGTGGCGGGCTTATGAGTCTCCAGGTTAGGGTTTAGGGTTTATAGGGTTTAGGGTTTAGGGTTTAGGGTTTAGGTTCAGGATCAACACCGTAAAGTCCCCAAAACGATTTAGCGCTAGGTTTTATAAGGGCCTTTTTAAGTGCAGTTACGCCCCTTCCTTCAAGCGACGCTGGCCCATAAGGGCCTACACTAATAGTGAAACAACTCTGCCATCCATTGTTGTCACCGTACAGGAACTTGGTGCCCATCACTTCAATCACGATCATAGTCAGCTCTTCTCCCATCTCCAGTATCTTCATCATGTTCATCATCTTCTCCTTCACCATCATCTCCATCTTCATGGTCAGGTTCTCCAATATCACCAGGCGCAGCGGTTTCACCCAACACACACACACACCCACACTTCAGGAGTGGCACTACAAGAGCTTTAGGGTTTAGGGCTAGAGCCCTGAAGCCGGAAACCCTTGATTCAGGGTTTAGGGTTTAGGGGTTAGGGTTTAGGGGAAACCTGGCGTAATGAACGGCTGCATCAGATTTTCTTATTCATGTGGGTGGTTGTCAAAATAAGGGTCCCTTTTTGGGTCCGTTTTATAATACGGCACCTAATATTTAGGGTACCCCCAAAAGGGACCTTAATTTGGACAGCTACCCATGTGGACCCTGTTTCCGAGATCGAATATGGGGGCCTTTATCTGCTCACTAGGGTTTTGGCGTCAATTTAAGTACATGTTTACCAAGGAACCCTACTTGGAGGTTCACGGGACTTAGTAACTATAGGGTTATAAATAAGGTAACTATGCTTATAATTACTTATAGCCCCAGTTAAAGTACTTATAACTGTACTTACTAAGTCCCATGAACCTCCAAGTATAATCCTAGTCCGACCCCAGCACACCATTTCCGAACAGCAAATTTTAATCCTAAACCTATTTCCGAAGATAGCTTCGGGTTCCTGGTCCTCCCTGAACATGTCAAGTCTGGTCCTACAGTATGCCCAGAGAAGAAACATCCTTGCGGTTTCAGCTTTCGCGGCTGTTTACGGCTTAGGTACCTCCATCCCTTAAGTGACGCCAGAAATTGAGGGCAGAAAGTTTGAAAAGAAGACCGACTCGACTGCTTTTGGACGTCGCGACGCACACAGATGGCAATTCGACCGTCTGCAAACCGCGGCCTCTGCTTCGGCTCAGGGATTGCAGGGCTTCAAACTCTCAATGCGCGTTTTGAGGGCCTGAGGGCCTGAGGGTTTCGAGATCTCAAACTTGAAACTAGGACTGAGCGTATGATCGCCCTCTGTCGCAGATGTGGGGGTTTCCGATATAGCACCCTAAATAGTAGGATCCTTATGATAAGGTTTAGAGTCGGAGGATTTTGCGGTTGCGATTTAAGCTGCAACTTCCAGAGTCGGTTCCGCCAGGCGGGCAAAAACGAAACTACCAGAACCTGCAAGGTAATGTAGGGGCCTTAAGAATTAGAATAGGGTTTCGGGTGTTCCGTACTATAAATATGGTATCATGTATCCCTGAGCCCTATTCTCATTACTAAGGCCCCCATAGTAGCTTTGATGGAGGTCTTGGAATCCCGCAGGGCCGGTAGTGAGTTCGAAATTGGCAGAAACAATCAGGAGACAACGTGTCGCGAAGAGGGAAGCGGTTTAGGGTTTTGGGGTCTAGGGCCGACTTGAAGCCAAAGTACCAGAGCCTTGAATGCCTACGGGAACCATAGCGTGGGGGGTTCGGTAAGGTTGGGGGCAGGGTTTGTGTAGGGATATTAGGTGGCCCATAGGAGCCCAACACATCCTGAAAACCAAACCCTTCGGGGATCCCAGCAGACCACCCTTTGCACACACAAGCCGGCACCACCACACTGAACCACTTGCCGGAAAAGCAGACTTCAAGCCACAAGGCTCCATAGTAGTTCCTTTTTGGGGTTCATTTTTAGAATCCTATAAGGTAAGCCCGGAAACGAACTACTATGGAGCCTATGTGTATCCCCTAAACCGCACACCCAGTGGCAACGGCCCTTGGTGAGGCATTGCCGCCGACGGATGGTCGCAGGCGACAACGGAGGCGGGCCTTTGAGGTCCAGACGTTTCTTCCTTATGTGGTTAGGGTTTAGGGTTTAGGGTTTCTATAGGGTTTGCATTATAAAGCCTCTATAAGGGTACTACAAGGATTCTATGCGGGTTCTCGGAGGTCCATGCTACTCAGCAAGTACAGTGAAGAGTACCCTAACTGGGCTAACATAGTATAAGTACATTTATCTGAATTATGACCCTGGTTACTACATCCCATAAACCTTTAAGTAGAGTGCTTGTCTGTTGCATCTTTTGCCCCAGCCATGCCACAACCCTAAATCCGGACCACCTGGAGTTCACAAGCGACTGGCCCAGACTCCATGCACACCTTGCTTTCTGCCGGCGTCTTCTGCTTTCCGGCTTCGGCATTGGAGCTCTAGGACTCTAGGCTTCAGCCCAGAATTGGCAAACAAGGACACCCATGTGATGATGCGATTATGGGGTTCCTAAACCCTAAACTCTAAATCGTTAAGGGTTTTGGGTTAGCCAAAAATTGCCTTGTTCCAAGCTGGCCATACTGCCGTGCAAGCCTGCAATGATTGAGAAAGAGAGAGAGAGAGAGAGAGAGAGAGAGAGAGAGAGAGAGAGAGAGAGAGAGAGAGAGAGAGAGAGAGAGAGAGAGAGCGAGCGAGCGAGCGAGCGAGCGAGCGAGCGAGCGATAGAGAGAGACACATCTATATGTATATGTATATATATATATATATATATATATCTCTCTCTCTCTCTCTCTCTCTCTCTGTATGTGTATATATATATATACGAACAAGCTGAACCCCCAAACCCTATAACTTCCTTCCGACCCTGCACTGCACTCCAACCAAAACGAATCAATTTCGGGTCCGAACTGGCGAACAAATCTGAAACGCACAGCCGAGATACCTGTCCCTCACTCTCAATCCTCTCAAAACTTACCTTTGGTTAGTAGGGAATGGAGGAATGGGGTACAATTATAACTACTATTACTCCCATTCTTCCATTCCCTATACTAACCACAGGTAAGAAAACCTGCCAACAGGGTTTCAGGAGGCGATATCCACATAAACCCAAAAAACCCTGGTCGAGGTAGCCCTTGTAGCCCATTGAAAGCAGAGACCGGTTGTGCCCCACGCCCACAACCCTAAAGGCTCACTGGCCTCGTGTGCCGCAGGCGCTCGCCTTTGCTTTTGACGGACCAACATCAGCATATCTCACAGCAGGTCATGAGGATGATGGTCATCGTCATCATGCAGTTGCGTAACCCCAGGTGACGACCGATCCATCCCCAAGAATGGCAGCAAAAGCGCGGAAAGAGGCTTGAATCTGCTGTACAGTCTTCAACCGATCCTGCACAGCGCTACTGTCACCGCCGGAGTGGGCAAAACCCCAGGTGACGGCAGATCCATCGCCACGAATGGCAGCAAAAGCACCCAAACAGGCTTGGATTCGATGAACATTTTTTAGCCGATCTTGCACAGCACTACTGTCACCACCATATTGAGCATCACCCCAGGTCACGACAGATCCATCACCGAGAATGGCGGCAAATGCACCTTGAGTGGCTTGGATCTGCTGCGCACTCTTCAGCTGGTCCTGCACAGCACTACTGCCACCGCCACAGTCAACATCACCCCAGGTCACGACCGATCCATTGTCAAGAATGGCGGCAAAAGCGGCAACTTCCTGCTCCGTAGTAACCCTAGTAGCCTGGATCTTCTGCACATTCTTCAGCTGATCCTGAACACCTCCACTGTCACCACCATACTGAGCTTGACCCCAGGTCACAACGCATCCATCGCCCAAAATGGCAGCAAAAGCGCCGAAAGAGGCTTGGATCTGCTTCACATTCTTCAGCTGATCCTGCACTGCACTGCTGTCACCACCCAAGTCAGTTGCACCCCAGGTCACGACGGATCCATCTCCAAGAATGGCAGCGAAAGCCTCCGAAGAGGCTTGGATCTGCTGCACATTTATCAGCTGATGCCGCACTGCTGTGTTGTTCCCACGATAGTGAGCATGACCCCAGGTCACAACCGATCCATCCTCAAGAACGGCAGCAAAAGCACGGCAAGAGGCTTGAATTTGCTGTACATTCTTCAGTCGATCACGCACAGCACTACTGTCACCACCACAGTCAGTATCACCCCAGGTCACAACGGATCCATCGTGGAGAATAGCAGCGAAAGCATAGTGAGTTGCTTGGGTATGTTGCACATTCCTCAGCTGATCCTGCACAGCACTACTGTCACCGCCCACTCCAGGTCACGACGGAACCATCAGCAAGAATGGCAGCAAACGCA